AGAAAGAAGTACAAGTCACATACACTATCCAGCTAAACGTTATACTACAGGGCAACATGTTTAGCGACTAATGGCAACACGAAGTTGCTAGTCTTTTTGTACACGCTGCACCGAAGTATCGTGTGTATCTTTGGCTTGGAACTGAACTGGTCATCATAATGTAACTTAAAACGCAAGCACAGTTCTGCTTTGAAGAACACATCGTTTATCAGCTGGCAATTCCTCAATTGAGGATAAATAAACTACGCCAACTCTTTTGATGTGTTCAACGCAAGTCGCGAAATGAGAGGCAATTCGACAGAGAAGCACTCGTTTTCGCGCATCCACTAATCGATGAACAATGAGTCAAATGAGCAGGACTTGTATGCATCAACAAATTTCCTTCTGAGTTATGCAAGGAGAGAGAACGCGTTACGACATGGCGAGAAATAGCTTATACGCTCGCACATCGGAAGTTGCTGCGCGGACTTTGCGTCCTTCTTGGCCGATGTAAAGCGGGGCAAAGTGATGTGAGTTGACAACGGAGAGCATTTCTCATCGATCGTCCGTATAGAGAAGCACAAGTGTGCTGGAAATACAGGACAAGCGTATTGCGCTCGCTGCTAGAGACTCTCCTCGACTTATGACGCTCAATTACGTAGTGCTAGACAAGCCCATCGCCGATCTGGCGGAAGCAGTCGCCATACATGTTGTGAGATAGGCCCGCGAGAGCAGCCCACGGTGTCGTTCGAGTTACGTAATCGTCATAATCGTTGATAGGTAGTCAAAGTGTTGAATCAACTTACTCGCACTTCCTCAGCACACCATATCCAATTCGACACTGCCATCATAGAAGTTCGGTTCACAGCAGAAAAAAAGGAGTTTGAAATGCCACATGCGTCTCTCCCCCACACTACTACTTGAATGAGCACAGTTCCCCGTCTTTCATATACGTACGCAACGCGCCCAGGACGGCAGACTCTGCTTTGTGGCGATGCACGTCGAGAACAACAAGCTTGGGCACACCGACGACGTGGCGACTTCTACCTGCTGAAGGTCTCGCCGCACGGCACACTTTGGACAGGGACGTTCAAATCTGTGCGCTACACGTCACACCAGATACGACCGGCAAACCAGGTTCAGTAAAGTAGTCCTTCGTGCTGGTGGAAGAAATCCGACATGAGTTTATCGCTCGATTAGCACGTGTTCTCGTCGACTGGTCTCGTTGTACGTAAGAATACACAAAGGGAGATCGAAAGGATGTACCCGTGGAGACATTGGCCACTGCAACTACGACTTTCGTGGATGCTAAACACGTGTAAGTGATAGCATCGATTCTGATGGTTGCAGCTCTCGAGCTGTGGGCAGTCCGATCTCGTGGGACCCATCAGCGATATTTGTAGGCGTGATGCGCATGCGTATAGGAGAGTGAGTTTGCTCGTGCTGGAGGTCGTACGACCGACCGACATGCAAATCTAGAGACGTACCTTCAGTCGGCCCTCTGTGCTCTGTATCACTCTTGACTACAACTCGTGTATGTCGCGGCAACCGACGGCACGAAGTCAGAGCGGATCGTTGTGCAAGTTCCAGATCCTCTTCCTCTCTGCTCATCGGAGTGCTGTTTCTGTGACGTTTCTGGTAGGGCGACGCCTCCTGCAAACACAAACGCACGAGCAGCAATTGTGGGGCCACAAGTGACATGAGCTCCTGCGAGGGACATGCGGTTGGCAAACGCGACAGGTGTCACATAGCTGAGCCCCTCTGCCGCTCCTACAGCTCTGTCTTTTCGATCCTTCAACGTGAGGCGCGGTCCACATACTGACGATCGTTTGGCTATCCTTCGATGGCATCGTAACTAGACTGTCAAGGCCATCGCTTGCATTGGTATGTGACACGCAGGTGGCCGAGCTGAAGACCCGGCTACCAATTTTTTATGGCACTGCGACCCCAACTCACATAGTGACGAGAGCCTCATGCATTGCCATCTGCTCCTCCAGCACACCAGCTGAGTTCTGCAGGAACAGTTGGCACCCTTCGGGTTGCATGGCGCATCGCACTTGTTCTAACTCACTTTTACTCGCACACGGAGATCTCGGATTCCAAGACTTACAACACTCAAGTGCATGAGCGTGTCTGGCTAGTACGGCCTATAATGTTCAGTGTCGATGGATAGAAAATGACTGCGAATACGCTCCCGTGACTTCTACGTCAACACCTGGTTGCGTCTTCATGTGAAGCAGCTGTTGTTGTTCCTCGCGTGAGAAGGTGTATCACCGTCGAAGAAGCCCATTGTATTGTACACGACCCTCGACTCCATGTTTGACAGTGATGGCTACAAATCTTGTTTTTCCACGCACGCATCAAGTCAGCGAAATCAATAGCTCGTCCGACGATGTATACGCCACCCTGCAGTGAATCTGCTTCGCCGTCTATCGCTTGGTGCAACGGAATACGCGGATCCACAGTCTTTTACCACGGTATCGCACGTGGAATCTTCGATACGCTCTTTTGTAGTGAGACGTTGCCACGCTAAATGACCACGAGACTGTTGTTGATTGGTGACAGCGGACATCGCGGTACGGAAACTGTGCTAGCGTTCCAAAGGCGCATACAAATAAGCGGGCAGTGTCGTGGGCGCAATGCGCCTGCTGCACACCACCCGAATCCTTTGCAGTTGTTTATATGCCATTGCCCAGCATGGCCGATTGATATGCTCGTTATGTCACCGTCGCAGGTCCGTGTGGGACCATTTATTGTCTTACACGTTGACCTTACCAGTCAAACAAAGTAACGCACTGTGACTTTTGTGCAACACAGTACCGAAACGCCCCGAAGGGAACGACAGCAGCGGCAGCGGCATGAAGTTGGACACGATCCTCATCTTCAGCTTTCGAGAGATTGTCGACCAATTGCACAATATCTAGATCGAGCATTTTAGGGATGTAGTCTGTGCTCGTTATAAATGCTTCACAGGTCTACGAGCGCTTCTCGACCTACAGACTGTGTCAGGCGGTATCGACGATTGATTGAGAAACAGATCTGAGAGAAGCGATGGTGATACTCAACTTTCGAGTGACGGGCTGACAGGAGCTGACGAGCGGTGCCAATTGTTCGCTACGACTCGAAGGCAGCTCTGCACATGATCAAGAAATTGTACGTTGGCATCTGTGTCGGAGGACGTCTCGTCACGGGTACGTTTGTGCGCCGTATCACTGCAGTACACAGTGCGACTTGTGATGGAGTCGGACTTTCAGCCAGCGCAAGGGGTCTCAATTACACATTCGTATGTTTCGGTGCACACGTTCAGCGACTTGATATACAGCAAGTAGACCAAAGTGACGGCACCACTGGAGAGGCGTAAGTGCTCTCGCGACGGCCGCTGCGAGCATCGAAACCAAGCGATGCAGACGAAAACACAATCGAAGAAGCGCATATCACACGATGTATCATATTGGCTTTCCTACATCATAGCGGCTCTATCCGCCTCTCCTCAACAAATAAACAAGCGATTGCATTGTTGCCCCGTGAAGAACGGATCCTGCAACCTAAATCTTTGCCTACTTGTACGTCATGACGCGAGGTCGTTAGCTCATGGGGAACTCACTCTGACGACTTCTCAATTCTTGTAGCTAGCGCCTACTGATATGTATGCACCTGCCGTGGCCTCAAAAGAAGGCCCTTCTCGCTCACCACGTGCGACCTTGAGGTCTATTGGCACTCACGGTGCAGCGTTGGGATGCGAGTGTGCAGTGTATTATACGTTGTCGCAGCATGGAGTAGATAACCTATCGTAGCAGCTACTAGAAATCCTCCCGTACACGACGCTGATGGCCGTATCATCATCCACTGATAACCGTTTTCGAAGACCATGTGTCCTAAGCTATTGCCTGGCGTCTGCTCGCTGTACCGCACCCCATACTCTCAACTGCCGCACGAGAGTCGCTAGCCCTGCGATCGCATGTGGCGTTCTCGGATCAGTTGATGTCGAAGTAGTGGCAGTGTCATCGCGCTACTTCAAGAGCCTCGAGGCCTAGAAGACCTTCCGACCAGATATAGCCTCACCGTTCTCGTGGCCAAAGAACAACGATCGACCAGTCTCACCTCACTCACTTGTCTGAAGCCGCAGCTTTCTGCACACACTACTGCAAATCAAACTGTAAGGGCAGGAAAAAGGCCAAAAGAGTGTTGCACGCTCACGCACAACGACACGGCCACGACAGATAGCCCCCTACCAGGTAATCGGTCCCACTTGCGTGTCAAACTCGCGCTCGCTTCCACCTGTCCGTGCAGTCAAACACGTATTAGAATCCATCGCGGCCACACGCGACTGCATCGGTCCAATCCGTCGCCATTCTCTCGCCCTCAGCTGCCTCGGCCACCGACTCTCGCCGCTCTCTTTGATGTTCCATAGCGCGACCGCGCAATGGAGCCACGTCCCATCCTTCGCGCCACACATCGTGCGGCGCAGAGCCGCGTCGTGGCTTCAACGCTCTGCGCTGCGCAACCAGCTGGTCGCCTTCGCAGCAAGTGGCAACCGGACGCTGCATCAGTCGGCAGGCACAGCCCGCGCCGCACGTCAGCATATAAACCCAGAAAGGCACACAGCCACTTTGACTATTCAGCCACCTGCACTCACTGTACCTACCAGTGAACCCGTGAACCAGTGAACCAGTTTACCAGTCCACCAGCGACAGACAGACCTCCTCGGTCGGGATCGGTCCCCTAGTCGTGTTTGGCGTTACCGAGCGACCAAAGACGGTGCGACAGGCGCGCGCACTGCCTCTTTTGCTCCATCCGTTTCGTCGGCCGCCCGTCGTCCGCTCGTGCGCTGCGGCCGTCCCGCTCTCCCCCTCCTGTTAGTCAGTCAGTCTGTCGGTCTATCTGTCGGTCTATCTGTCGGTCTGTCTCCACTTTTGGTTGGGCAGTTGTCGGTCGGTTCTTCGCTCCGCTTCTCCCGCCGCACGTACACACACAGACACAGCCACAGCAACAGACTCAGACGCACAGACAGAGAGCGCAACATGCGTCCGCTCCACTGGCCGACGCTCGTGTGGGCCTCCAGCGCCGCTTCGGTCGTCTTCTTGTCGGCCGTGACGCTCTTCGACTCGGCGCACGCCAAGTCCGAGTGCTGCGACACGTGCATCGGCAAGTCGTCGAACGCCGTGTACAACTACGACCCCGTGATCTTTGACCAGTGCACGGGCGTCGACAATGGCGTGTGCTGCTTCGAGTGCGGCAACTTGGGCGACCCCATGTACGGCGACACAGTGTCGTACGCCACGGACGGCGTCACGGCAGTGGTCCCCGTGGGGAGCTACATCTCGTTCACGTGGAGCGGCGTCGAGAACGTGACGTACGTGTCGCTCAAGACGGGGCAGAAGAAGACCGTGACGCCGACCGTGTCGGACGCGCAGGCGACGGTCAAGTCGGACACGTTCCTGATCTGCGCCCGGTCGGCCGGCACGATATACTTTCGCGGGTGGGGCAGCGACACGTGTCGCGAGGCGTCGCCCGAGCACTCGATCACAGTCGAAGCCAGTGGGGAGAAGGACAGCGGCGCCACGTGCGACGCGAAGGACGTTGTGTTCGACACGACCGATGCGCCGAGTGCCGAGGCGCGTCCGGTTCGAGTTCCATTGCGGCCGACTCGACGGTCGCCGAGTGCAACGCCCAGCGCGCGAGTGTGCAGGTCGTGGACGGCACGCGTACGTGCGTGTGCGTGTCGGACTGGACGAACCCGCCCGAGTGCGACCGCTGGCCGCTCTGGAAGTGGCTCGTGACGGTCGGCGGCGGCGTCGCGGCGTTCTTTTCGATCATTATCTCGATCCGCGCGTTCCTCTCGAGCCGCAAGAAGAAACACGACGTCGAGTGTGCGCCACTGGGGACCAAGAGCAGCAACATGGAGACGATGCAAGTGACGCCGGACAACGACTACCAGGACGCGGCGTCGCACATGGCGGCGTTCAAGTACGACCCCGAGGCCGACCGCGCGCACGGAGGGGCGCGGAAGGCCGACGACCGGGAGTTTACGCTCTGACGCGGGTGCGAGAGGCTCGAGGCCCTTAACATTATCTAGCGTGGCCAGCCTGGACGCAATGGAAGCGAACTGCAGCACTCGTGTTTTTGCGTTTGTGTGTATGTGTGTGTGTGCGTATGACGCCGACGGTGGTGTGATGTGGACGCTCTCAAGTTCGTCTCTTCTCTCTATGACCTGATGGCTGCATCGCGTTCTTTTCTGTATTATGAATGAGCTTCCGACGCACTTTTGTCTGCTGTTGTCTGCGCCGCTTGAGGTGTCCAGTCGTCTGTCGTGCAAGTGATTGCCCGCCTGACGACACTGCATGTGCAATAGAGCGAGTGTGGTCGTTTGATCATTTAGGCACTTGCGACCATTTTCGCGACCGACGATGCGCTTGTTTTGGTATAGGAAAGAAGACGGAACGTGAGGAAGAAGCGGTAGCGACGACTGGGCGATGGACGTGTATGTGCGATGTGGTGTAGTGTCGATCGACGCAACTGTCGACACTGTCTTAGAAGGAGACGGAGAACGAGAGAGAGAGAGGAGAGCGAGAGAGAGAGAGAAGTGAGGCGGTGTCGGATGGAGAGCGCCGCGTGGTGGAACTTTACGTCGTGCGACCTCAGTCAAATGACGGAGCGAGTGACTCCTCGGCGCGCTGTCGTATCTCCAGTCCCGAGCAGTGGTTCGTATCGAAGTCGAAGCAGACAGCGACTTTGAATATCGACTGTTGCGACCAATGAACATACCTGCGAACGAACGACATTCCGGCCGCTCTGTTTGCGACGGGGCAGTCCATCGTCTCTCGTGCGATCGAACCGATACCGCTAACGAGCGAGCAACAATGTTCCAAGATACAGCAGCCGGTGACAGTGCGTGACGTGTGCACTCGTGACTGTCTGTGCCTTAAGCTTCAAAAACGGTCTTGTAAATTCCCATCGTCGCTACTTCCAACCATTATCTATCGTCCATCGGCTCGTTCGTTACGCCTCATGAACGTCCGGCACTGTCGTTCGAGGTCTTTTTTTCAAGCCATACTACACGCACTGGTCGCCGTCGTCTGTCACAAGTATCATGTCGAACTCTTCGGACGTCGGTCCACGCCGTCGTCGTCGTCGATCGAAAGCTGTCCATCGCTTTTGTCCGTCGTCAGCGGAACTCACGCCGTTGTGCATTCGCGCGAGTGAGACGTTCAGGACTGTTCAGGCTCCACGTCCCCTCCCCTCCTCTCCCCTCTGCTCCCATTCACTTTACCCTCGACAGCCTTTTACTCACCATGGCCTTGCACTGGCCGACGCTCGTGTTGGCATATAGCTTTGTCGTTCTGTCCGCTGTGACGCTCGACACGTCACACGCGACGTCTGCTGCGCGCTCGTCTTCCGAGTGCTGCGGCACGTGCATTGGCAAAGCGTCGAACGCCGTGTACAACTACGACCCCGTGATCTTTGACCAGTGCACGGGCGTCGACAATGGCGTGTGCTGCTTCGAGTGCGGCAACTTGGGCGACCCCATGTACGGCGACACAGTGTCGTACGCCACGGACGGCGTCACGGCAGTGGTCCCCGTGGGGAGCTACATCTCGTTCACGTGGAGCGGCGTCGAGAACGTGACGTACGTGTCGCTCAAGACGGGGCAGAAGAAGACCGTGACGCCGACCGTGTCGGACGCGCAGGCGACCGTCAAGTCGGACACGTTCCTGATCTGCGCCCGGTCGGCCGGCACGATATACTTTCGCGGGTGGGGCAGCGACACGTGTCGCGAGGCGTCGCCCGAGCACTCGATCACAGTCGAAGCCAGTGGGGAGAAGGACAGCGGCGCCACGTGCGACGCGAAGGACGTTGTGTTTGACACGACCGATGCGCCGAGTGCCGCCGCCGACGGCGCGTCCGGTTCGAGTTCCATTGCGGCCGACTCGACGGTCGCCGAGTGCAACGCCCAGCGCGCGAGTGTGCAGGTCGTGGACGGCACGCGTACGTGCGTGTGCGTGTCGGACTGGACGAACCCGCCCGAGTGCGACCGCTGGCCGCTCTGGAAGTGGCTCGTGACCATTGGTGGCGCTGTGGCGGCGCTCTTTTCGATCATCATCTCAGTGCGGGCGATGCTTGCCGGTCGTCAGAAGGACACGGACAACGAGAAGCAGTTTCGGGAGAGTATGGCTCTCGTCACGCCGAAGAGTGCCGTGGCCACGCTACAGGTGATGCCGGACACGGCCTACCACGGCAATGGGATCCCTCACTCCACGTATGACCCGGAAGTCGATCGCTCGTCGGGCGCTCCTCGGAAACCCGCAGCGAGTGAGTTTACGCTATGAGGTTGGGTTGTCCACCACCTGCAGCATGCTGCCCTCAACTAACAGCAATACTTTGTCATACGTAAACACGATCGGGGAGCGAGCGCGAGCAGATAGTTCAGCTCTTTCGATACAGATCGCTTGAAAATGCCAGTAAAAGAGCTACAAAATCAAATACGTTCATGTACGTCGAGTAGCTCAATCCCCTTGAGTCGACCTGCTCAAAGTGTTGACGTTGTGTTTTGTTTAGCTCACTGTTGTACTGTGTGTATCGACGCTGCTAATCACGTCGTTGAGGTCGATCTACAAGAAGTACCGCCACTACCGCCACGGACGACCGAGCGGCCTATACGCTGATGCAACAGTCGCCTCCTGCGATTAGCAAGACGCGAGCCACATAAGTAGGCGATGCCCTACCGACTGACGATGTCATCGTCTCGTACCCGTCTTTCCCAGCAGAACTCGAATGCTAAGCGTTCGCATATCCACTTGCGACCCTCAACCCGAGACACCCGACGACGACATTACCGTCTGAACGTCTCCTTTTCCATTCGACTCGTTTCGGAGAATGACGTCGAGCTGAACCGTTTGCAGTCAGTCTGTACGTTCGCGTGTGAACTGGACCCACCGACCGTCGCAGCCATTCAGCTGACTCCAGTCCCCCGTCGCCGCTCCTGCTTCGCGATCTGCTCCTTTCTCGGAAATCAGGACCCAAACGACGCCCACTCGCGTCACAAAGTTGAGCAAAAGGCGGTTTGTCACCCATCGACGCGACAACCACAGCCTCTTCCTCTATCGCTCTATCGTCCGCTTCCTCCCTCTGCGCCCTCAACTCAGTGTCCGTAGCACGTCCAGTCGTCAGTCAGTCAGTCGTTCGATCACTTGCAAAGCCCCCCAAGCACACACACACATACACACGCAGATGACCCATCGGTGGTCGATCCTGCAGGAACTCCTGATCTTATGCCTACTCGCCAGTCCCTCTGCGGTCCTTCGCCCGACCGAAGCGATACCGACAGCAATTGCCGCTCCCTCGGCGTCTTCCGAGTGCTGCGGCACGTGCATTGGCAAGTCGTCCAACGCCGTGTACAGCTACGACCCCGTGGTCTTTGACCAGTGCACGGGCGTCGACAATGGCGTGTGCTGCTTCGAGTGCGGCAACTTGGGCGACCCCATGTACGGCGACACAGTGTCGTACGCCACGGACGGCGTCACGGCAGTGGTCCCCGTGGGGAGCTACATCTCGTTCACGTGGAGCGGCGTCGAGAACGTGACGTACGTGTCGCTCAAGACGGGGCAGAAGAAGACCGTGACGCCGACCGTGTCGGACGCGCAGGCGACCGTCAAGTCGGACACGTTCCTGATCTGCGCCCGGTCGGCCGGCACGATATACTTTCGCGGGTGGGGCAGCGACACGTGTCGCGAGGCGTCGCCCGAGCACTCGATCACAGTCGAAGCCAGTGGGGAGAAGGACAGCGGCGCCACGTGCGACGCGAAGGACGTGCAGGTGACTGCCCCCTCGAGTGCGAGCGACTCGAGTTCCGGGTCGGGGTCTGAAACAGGCGATGCGACGGTCACGAGCTGCAACGTGCAGCGCGCGAGTTGGCAAACAGTACACGGCGTTCGCAAGTGCGTGTGCGTGTCGGACTGGACAAACCCACCCGAGTGCGACCGCTGGCCGCTCTGGAAGTGGCTCGTGACCATCGGTGGCGCTGTGGCGACGTTGTTTTCCATTGGTATCTCCGTGCGAGCGTATGTGCAAAGCCGGAAGCGAAAGCACGAGAAAGAGGGCGAGAAGTTGCAAGATGACTCGGTCCGGACGAATTACGGAGACGCGTACCAAGAGAACTTGGCTCCCATGGGTACAAAGAGCGATCTCAACCCAATGGATTACCGACTACAGAGTGAGTATCATAATGCGGCAGCAATGGCTCCATCGAAAGATGTCGAGCGTACACCTGGAGGGACGAGGAAACCGGATGAACGGTTGTTTTCACTCTAGTTGTCAGGTAGTCATGATGGCACTTGATCTTATCTATACTTGTCGCTGGTGATCACTTCATTAGTGCTTCGAATCAGGAAAACCTTATTCAGAATACCAAATGCGTCAAGTTTGTTGTAAGAAAGCTCGTGGGCTTTTTTCATCGCTGTCTTGTGCCCGCCAGCTTGTTCCTTTGTCGCTTGAGCACACGAGATCCTTAAGCGGATGATAACTGTGGTAGAACGCAATCCACACTAAGCCCGCTACCATCAGAAAGTGCCCCACGCGTATTATGTGTGCAAACATGCTTTTTATCCAAACTTGTTAGTTGCTTGCGACCTAGATCACGTGATTGCTCAAGCCATTCGCGATAACAAGCGATATGCCTATTTCAAATGTACGCGAGTGCACGGCTCGAGAGGCAATGCGTAAGCTTGGTGTCAGTGTGCACGATACTACCGCAAAATAGCGAGTGCAAAAGGTTGGTGCATGACATGGAGAACGCAGAGCTGAGACAGCGCGTGGTTGTTGCTGTAAGGTCGACGAAAGCACAATGTCCGAAGACGCTCTAGCTAAATATGCTACATCAAGTCGAGCAATCGCAACGTAGAATTGCGCTTTTATTGCTGAGGTGAGGAGTATAAGAAGGGGCTACAAACACCACAATCAATGCGTCGGATATACAATACCCGAAATGATGTCAACGCTACGCAAATTGTAATATCAAATACGGTCTATGTTGTGCTGTACAAAAAGGGAAGACTGATGCATGTGATGTTTGTATACAAAACGTCCGAAACAGTCGGCACAGTAGCAGTCGTCACGGTTGTAAGGGCGGGTGTAACGGGGTTACACGTCGGCTGGTAGTCGACGATAGGTGTGGTGCACACAAGAGGGGGTTACCCTATAAAGTAATTTTAGAACACAGTGAGTGTATCAATTGTTGAAGACTGATGTCTGTCATCAATTGATTACGAGATCTTTTAAGAGGTTATTTAGGGCAGGTTAAATACGTTGTTCTGAGGTGTTCTTTTAGGTTAATCAAAAAAATAAAAATTCAGTTCCCCTTTTGATCACTGAAAGACACGTGCCTCACGAGGCGTCTTTGATCGGTAGGAGCTAGCAATACCTGTGAAGGTAGCTACTCTTGAGCACTCTGTGCTGTGATTCTTTTGAATCGTTTGGTCCCTCAGGAACGGGGACCGTAAGCTCTCTGAGCTTGTTGACTCTCTGAGTCGGGTTCGTAGAACCAAAGTTGCTCGTAAGAGCGTTAAGTCTTCCTCTGACTTAAGGAGCTGTGTAGCTCCGCTACAGCATGGCAGCCATCAGAGTTATCAACTCCTGGACATAGTCCGTTAACTCGTTCTTACCCTGACGGGTAGACAAGAAGCGTGAGCGCACGCGATAGGCCTGGTTAGGTGGCGAGAAAACTCGCAATAGGTCTAGCTTGATGGAATCCCAAGTGGGAAACGCCAAGTCGACCGACGTGCCGCACGTCAAAGCCCACTCTCTCGCTCTACCATCGAGCTTAGAGATAGCCAACGAGACAGGCTGATGCTCGATTGAGATCAAGCCAGATCTCATGGCCATCTCAATCTCACGGATCCAGAGGGTCAAGTTTTCCCCCTCCTTCCCGGAGTAACATTTAACGTCCACCCGAAGGGGACGAGGCTTAACCTCTTCTGGTGGCATCGCCACGTAGCGTGTCGGCATAGCCGACGCTACCGGGTTTTGAACCTGCCCTAAAAGGGCCGTTTCGTACTGCATGAAGGTCTCTACTCGTGCATTGAGCACATCGGGACCTTGTGCAGCTAGAAACTCCACATACTCTGGGCCTACGGCCGCGGTGAGCTTCTCAAGCGCGGCCTTTTGGGCCTCAGATAGGGATGTGGATTGCTCCATCCTCACAGAGGATCAGTCGTTACCGACTCAGGCGTAGATTGACTACAAGTGCTACCAAGTGTAGCGGAGCTACACAGCTCCTTAAGTCAGAGGAAGACTTAACGCTCTTACGAGCAACTTTGGTTCTACGAACCCGACTCAGAGAGTCAACAAGCTCAGAGAGCTTACGGTCCCCATTCCTGAGGGACCAAACGATTCAAAATAATCACAGCACAGAGTGCTCAAGAGTAGCTACCTTCACAGGTATTGCTAGCTCCTACCGATCAAAGACGCCTCGTGAGGCACGTGTCTTTCAGTGATCAAAAGGGGAACTGAATTTTTTTTTTGATTAACCTAAAAGAACACCTTAGAACAACGTATTTAACCTGCCCTAAATAACCTCTTAAAAGATCTCGTAATCAATTGATGACAGACATCAGTCTTCAACAATTGATACACTCACTGTGTTCTAAAATTACTTTATAGGGTAACCCCCTCTCTTGTGTGCACCACACCTATCGTCGACTACCAGCCGACGTGTAACCCCGTTACACCCTCACCCACCAGACTGACGTTACCACAAAACGTCAATCGGCTTCTTTCCTCGAAGAGGTTGGTGTGTGTGTGTGCTTAACCTTACGGTTCTTAACACGAAACACCATGGCATTGCCACCCAACGAGTCTCAAACTCTTTCATCTTACCTCGACTTCGACGAGGATGTGGGTTATGGTAGTGATACCAGTGTCCATGGAGATGACGGGATATCATCCCACTCCGCTGTACCTGAGGCTCGTCCTCTAACAGCATCGAATCCGTTCGTTGAACGTGGTGATACCACCGCGCCAGTGGCGCAGCATCATACAACAGATGCAGATGAGAACATCATCACGAACCCGCTCGACGAGCAACAGCAGCTGATCCGTCAGCGGGAGGAGCGTGCTCTACGTCGCACTCATACCCAGGCGGTTATTCGAAACCGGAGTGGTTGCGTGTTCTCAACACCAGACGTGGAGCAACGCCTCCGTCAAACGGAAGGCCGTAGCCTTTCAACATGGGCCATTGGCCCCGAGGTTACGTCGCCAGAAGATACGCATTTCGAAAGGCTCTGAATGAGAGGTATCTCGAACCAGCCTTTACCACGCAAGGTCAGTACCTTGCACACCTTGAGAGTCTTTCTCGTGGTGTTTCGGTTCGACCGATAAAGGGCGTGCCCATCTTGTTGTTCGCTGGCGAACTGCCCGAGGAGGAGGACAATGAGTTCATCCGTTGGGTGTACCGCAAGCGGCATCTTAGCAGTGTGCCAACGCTGCGGGCCAGAGCCGATGTGGCTGACGTTCGTCTGGAACGGAAGCTCCGGTTCGAGTATGCCAAGCTCAAGGCCAGAGGCCACTTGCGTACACGTACGCGTTATGCTCCGGCTACAATGGTAGCCACGGGTCACGACCCTAAGGTGCGGAGCAACACGCCACCTCCCACCACTATTGGTGAGAAGCGCTCTCGCTCGCAAGGCGACCCTGGCCACGATGTTCAAAAACATCCACGGCGTAAGGGCAGTCCTGCCGAAGGGGTATCTCATACTCCCACGAGTTCTCCGACTCCGGGTACCCTCGCCACTTCACCAGATACTGGTATTGGCCACGACGACGACGTCGCTGAAGGATTTTCTCCACATGGAACTGGTGGTTCCCTTGCTCATCGAGCAGCGTCGGTGGCGGTCGGGGTACCGAAGGAGGAGCATGAGAAGGTGCTCCGTGAGCTGAGTGGTCTCCGAGAGACATTGGGTAAGACCCAGATTGAACTCGGCGCGATGCAAGCCCGTGTTCAAGCATTGGAGTTGGCCTTAGCCCGTGTGGATGGTCAGCTTGACCTCCTGGTTCGGATGCAACAGCCGACGGCAAGGCCCTATTACCCGGCGCAAGCGCCTCCGAGTTCACATGGGACGGATCCCGATACGGCCTAAGTAAGTCAACGTAGAACACTGGGTGCGTGCGCAGTTTGCGCGCTAGGTTGATCGTATACGCCAATCCCTTCTTAGCAATGACCGTGAATGGCCCAATGAAGCGCGGACGCAACTTTATCTTGAAGACGGCAGACACTACATTTGTAGGTAGGTTTTTAGCATTGAGTAGAACTTGGCCTCCGACCTCATAACGTTCAATACATCCTCTTCCTTTAGCATTAGCTTGTTCCTTTTGTTTATCTTGGCTATCAGCCAGTGCATCACGTACGTGTCGTAACACATTCAAGCGCGTTGCGAGAAACTCGCTTACCTGTTTATGAACAGTAGCAGGGCTGATGTCTGCAAGCCGATCGGCCATCTCTCCCCCACCAAGCCCTGAACCACGCAGTGGTAGCGTCAACGGAACGCGAGGGTGTGTGAGACCGTTTGCGTTAAATAACGCTGTTTAAGCCTCTACAGGCTTTACTCCGTTCTACGTGAACTCAACAACAGGAAGCATCGAGCTCCAACGTTTTGGTGTATTAGTGCAAACACTGCGTAATATGTCACCGATAACGCGATTGACTCGCTCGGTTTGACCATCGGTCTGCGGATGATCCGCCGTGGACATGTCCAAACGTGTGCCGAGCACCTTGAAGATGGACTTCCAAAACTTCCCAGTGAAGCGAGGGTCTCGGTCAGAGACAATTGCCACAGGCAAACCGTGTTGTCGAAACACTCGATCGATAAACAGCGTAGCTTTACCTTCACCATCAATGGTATCTAGCACAGCCGCCAAGTGAGCCATCTTGCTCAAACGGTCAACAAAGACCACAATACCCGTATTGCCTTGCCCATCTTTCGGCAGACCGAACATGAAATCCATACTGATGGACTCCCAGCACCCAGAGGGTATAGTCAAACTATACAGCGGCGCAGCCGCATGAGCTGAGGGCTTCACCCGTTGACACGTTCAACACGTACGCACATATGTGCTTACCCATTTGTAAAGTTTGGGCCACCAATAATATTGGCTCACGGAGCTGTATGTCTTCTCCCAACCAGGATGACCGCCCACCGCAGTATCATGCACCTCATAGAGGATGCGATACTTCAATTCCTCATCGTGAGGGACAACGATACGGGGAGTATCCTCCATATCTGTGCTATAGCACAACAGGCCTTGATCGATGGAATATC